TAGATTTGTTGTAAGTTTTTCATTTAAGTTTCCATTTTCTTCTTGAACTTGCAACTAAAACTTTGCTGAAAAACTTTAACTTTCTGTTTAAAACTCCATGGTCTATGTTGCTATTGTTGATGTGGTTGCAATTGATGCAAGTGCAACTCTTGTTGATTTTCACCATCTGTGGGTGACTAACTAATATTCAAGGTAGGGAATTGGTAATTCATCTCTAAGGCTTTATCTCCTTCAAGAAACTTGTTAAAAGATTTTTGTTTACAGGGCACCTGTTTTTGAGCAGCATGTTGACGATATAGTTGGCATTGCATATGCAATGGATCTACTTGATTTTATTTGGAAGGTCAGGCAATTTCTTCCTTTGACACACCCTTTTTTCCATCATGTAGAACTTTTTTATCAATTATATGCAACAATGTCAATATCATAGTGTGCATATTTGTAATCACTTTGATTTTTATTTCTTTTTTTGGGAACTGGTGAAGGGTGAGCAACTTGAAAGTTCTACTGTGGGAGAAATGGCTCACAAAGCGGCCTACTTTGTGCTTGGTAACCCTTGACTTTTTTCTCTAGTTGATATTTTAATGATGTTTTGTCACGCCCCAGAATCCAAATTCGAGGCGCGACAGAAGCCGTACACCCGTGAGATGGGTCCCACGAATGCACAAGGCTCGGAACTTATTCAAATCACCTCTAACAATCCAATAACTCAAATCAATCATCTCAAATAATTCTATAACCAACATAACTTAATCTCAAAATCTCCAAATCAAATCTCTTATAAACTAACAATCCACTAAATGAATTTATAAAATCTCCGATTAAACTTTAATTTACAAGATCATGATCTACATCTCGAATCTATATTCACTTTACAAAATGACTAGCCTTCTAACTCGTCACTCCTCTCGGTTTCCCCGTCCTCAGTTTCGCTTCTTGAAATGGTGGACAAGGAAAAACTATGAGATAAACTCAGTAAGTAAATATGGATAACCCTTGGGTAAAACTTTTAAGCATGCTAGATAAATCAGTTTAACATAACAAATCACTCAATGACAAAAATCAGATTCAGTTCACTTGCAAAGCATTCAATGACAAACCGTCAATGTAAAATCAGATTCAATTCAATAACAAAACGTCTCATGTCAAACCGTTAATTAAACTCATAGCATGCCAACAAGTGTAATCACGAAAACAGATACAGTACGGGCACGAAATAGACGTCTCCTCTATAGGTCATGGCCAGTGTTTAAACCTCCCACTGGCATGCAACAAGAATTACTAGTGTTTAACTCCCACTAGTAGGATTACAGGAATGAACCGGTTCTATCAGGAACATGTCGACATGTGCTAGCGTTTGACCTCCCACTAGCGGGCAACAAGATAACATGACCGTATCGGAGACAAAACAGGCTGAATTTAACAGAAGATCAATCTTTACAATTCACTTTCAAATCATCAGGACAATCACATGAACTTCAAGTAGGCATGCTCATATCCATAAAATCATAAAAATTTTCAGTTCAAATAAGTCATACTTACTTTTGCATAAAACGGTTTTGTCCCGCCACTACTTCAAAAACAAGTCAAAACATCTTTTAAAAACAGTGTGGGCATTACCATAAATTTACTTACCTCACTCCGCAAAACCGAGCACTCAATTCACGTACTAAACTGACAGAACGATCCAGAACCTAATCAAAATATCCACATTATCAGATATCTCCAAATTCGTTCTTATATCACAAACTAATCACTTAAATCCCCGTTAATTGTTGACTCTCGGGGTGTGAACAGTACACGTGAACAGTGCACGACGTGAACAGTAACTCCGACTTTCACAATTTGGCTAAAACACTAGCTAATTCACGGGATTTTCTCTCCAAAATCACCACAACCCACTTCAAGCTAATTCACACTTAAACCAAGCTTAAAAACATAACTTAATCTACCAAAATTTTTCCCATTTCTCACGGCAGCACAGGGAGAGCATTACTTTGGCAAATCACAATTCACACACACGAGATTTTCACACAAAACATCACAGCAGGTAATTCAAGCTAAATTCTACTTAATCAAACTTAAAACACATTTAAAATGCTACTAAATGCTACCGGAATTCCTCCCCATTTCTGGCACAATTCGGACACACACAAGGCAGCAATTAAATGGCTAATTTAGGGCTTAAAGAAGTGGCCATCATACCAGAATTTTCCAGCAAGAACCGGACTTGGCAGGGAGAAGAAGAAGCCGGCGGCAAGCTGCAGGGAACTCACGGACTACCCAAAAATTTAGGGAAATAAACAGAAATTAGCATAACCCAGCCTAAATCAAGGTTAAAGAGATGATTTCTTGGCTGTGGCTTACCCGAAAATGCCCAGAAATTCAAACCCACAGCAGCCGGCGGACAAGGAAGAAGAGCAGAGCAGAACCGGGATTTTCTGGGTTGAGAGGGAAGATTCTAAGCCCTAAATCTTGTGATTTAACAAGAAAGGAAGAGAAATTCATCAAGATCTCACCGGGTTTTTCAAGGGGAAAGAAAGTCGGTGGCTTGGGGGGCTTATCGGGGAAGAAGAGTCGGGAAGAAGACAGAGCCGAAACGTGTATGGCTGGGAAGAAAAGGAATGAAAATATCAGCTGATCCTTATCCTAATTTCCTTTCTTTTAAGTCCTTGAACTTTGAAAATATTTGCCATTAAGTTCATTAATAATATTTCTTCACAATTAGGTCCCTAACTCTCACTTGATGCTCTAGAAATTTTGGGGTATTACATGTTCTTTGTGTTGATATTAACAGTTTCTAGCTTTTCATGACACTATCCACTGGTTGATTGAGGTAGTTGCATAGTTTTTTTTTTTTTTTAATAGCTATTACCCCATATTCTCACCTTATTATCCACACTTCTTTTCATTAGACTTGTTTGTTGTTTTAGTAGTTATTGTCTAGGGGAAAAGAAAATGGAAAAAATAGAATGCTTCAACTATCTATACAGTAAAATTTAGAAAGTTGGTTTTGCAGATACAATGTCAGTCTGGAATCTTCTTAGAGAGTTCCGGATCAGGAAGGTTCACATGGCTGTTCTTAATGAATATGGTGGAACTGTTGGGATCTGTGCAAAGCCTCTTATTGAAACTTTACCTAAACAGAATCATCCATTGTGTTGAGGTTTTTTATTATGATAAAGTGCCAACTTCTGCCATTTTCTTTATTTTTATTTTGTGCCACATGTCAACTTATGCTAACTTGTGATATCTTGAAACAATAAGAGACAACATTTGTGATATTTTGAACTTTGTTCTAGAGTTAGATGCTGACAATGCGTTCCCCGCTAAGAGGCTAAAGAAATAAACAAAATTTCTTCAGTTGGAGCTAGAAGTCCTGAAGACAAAACCTTCTTTATTAGCGTGTTCTTTGTGCCCACTTAAAGTAGTATTTGTTCATTGTTTATTGGCATCCAAATGCCATAACATAAACTCAATGAAATGTATGATGGTAAAAGGTCAACCAGGCTAATAAGCTGACCACTTAAAATCTAAAATGGTTAGTATGACCCCTCAATACCTTAACTTGTGAGCTTGCACCTAGTATTAGTTTGTTATTCAAATTTTACAACTTCAAAGCTTTGGCACGTAACATTAATTTCAGGTTCAACATGGTAAAGGAGACAAATAGGAGTTCCTTGTAGATGAAACTCAAATGCTCTCTCATATGTTTTGAAATCATTTTTCTTCTAAGGTTCAAATAAGAGTGGAATATGCACCATGAGAACACAAAAAGTCTCGAACTTACTATGCATGGGTTTTCTTTCTCTTTTGGATTGCTTATTTAACAGTATTTGTGCTTATTTTATTGACTGATTGATTTTATATGTTTATGTACTCATTTTTTGATGGAGCAGATGGTAACCTTAGAAGATGTGGTTGAGGAGATTGTTGGAGAAATCTTTTATGAAAATGATTCAAAGGTAAGCCTAATTATGTCATTAATGATCCTAATGTTCTATTATTGACTCTGTTATTGGAGGCAAGTCTTTTAATTATATGGATGACTTTAGATATTGCATTCTATTATTCCTCAGCAAGGGGATGGTAAGAAAACTTGTTGATGAAGTCCAAAACAAATTGGTGTTGTACATGTGCTGGCAATCTTCTACAGATCAATTGATCTAGATTCTGCTTTATTTCCAGTTTCTGGTCTCTTTTAGTCTGGCATGTATTTTGTCTGCATTTTCCATGCGACCAAAGAATTTCCTGTCACTTCTCACGTCATGTAGACATTTCTTTACTCTATAGGTCTCATATCAATTAGCCTTACAAGGTTGAGCTCTGCCTGATTCTTAAGAGGTATGTTATATATATATATATATAATGATTCTCAAGTGATACTTATTAGATGTATTTGCTGCTAATTGTATTAACAGAAGGAGATCCAGAAGAAAATTGGCTATATTGTAATGAGAGCAGAGGGAGTATATGATGTTGATGCCAATACATCTATTTATTTGCCATCTGAGGACTTGAATATCAAAATGCCAGAGGTATATAATTCCACCATATTACTGGTTTTCGTTGTTATGGTATATAGAGCAGCGAATGGAGTGTTTGAACTTTAAAGCTAAAAACTCAGTTATTAGGATCATTTCTATCTTTGATTATTTCTGTATTGACACTTCTCCTGCCATTTCCACAAGCTCATTAAAATTTTATTTCTGCTATATAGTTGATCATAGGAATCTTAAAAATAGGCACGCTTATAAACTTGATATTTCTGATCTCAGTTGCAAGGGAAATTCTGTTTACTGTGACAATTGTGTGATTATTATGCCTTAAGATTAAGTGACCACAGCTCAAAAAAAAAAAGAAAAACGAAAAACAAGAAACAAATGAAAAAGAAGAAGGGGAGGATAAAGTAAATAGTTAAAAGCGGAATGTGGTATTCAATTCATTTGGAAGTAAAGGCACAGTTAACCTCACATCGTTCTTAACTTATAAATTTCATATCTCTATTCATCTTTTCTTTGTTCACCATGCTGTTCTATAGGAACATCAGTATGAGACAGTATTTGGTTTTTTATGCGAAGGATTTGGATACATCCCTAAAGCTGGTGAAAGCATCAAAGTTGTCCTCGAAAGGGATAATCAAGATGATGATGATGATGATGATGATGATAAGCACGATGAAGATGGATCCAATCATCAAGATGTGAAGGCATCAAATATATAGACTTGAGGTAGGGTAAAAGCACTGAATGGATTTCAGTGAAAAAAAACTAGGAAAGGAAAAGCATGTAGCTAGCAATAATGCAGTCTTTTCCATGCGTAACTTTCTGAAATGAATGCTATTATGAGGGCATGCATTTGTTCATGGAGGAATCTGCTTTTATATTGCTCATCCTGTGAGATGCTTCATTTGGTGGCTTAGTTTGCTAAATTAAACTTAGCAACTGATAATAATAATTCATGTGCTCCATTTTTGTATAACATTCAAGTTTAAATATTTTTTTTGGAAAATAAACTATACATGTGATAACTATATAGGCTAATAAGATTAAATCTTGAGCATCCAATTGAATAACTGATTAATGTGAGTGAGATGTTGTCCCTGGTGCAGGTATTAGGTGCAAATGCCTGAAGGGTTGGTGCTGTTTGTTTTGAGCAGATAAACAATGGGGAAGCAATGTCAGAGACCAAAGAAGTAACTCAATTGATTCCCAAAATCATGAGGAAAGGGACGGTGACAAATTGGATAACATTATCTATGTTGAGAATGCATTTCAAAATTAAAATCAGAACTTATTTTTAATTTAAAATTTTACATTTTTTAGTACAATTATTAAATAATAATTACTATTTATTCTATGCCCATAGGAAAATCTTTTATTTTATTCCTCGATTCCGTTCTGTGACATATAGCCACGATATGGCTGGATTTACTGTGTACCGCACTGTTACTTGTGGAACTTATTTATGATAATTCCGTTAGTGCCCAAAAACCAATGTTTGGGAAGGAAGTTAGTGAAAAAAAATGCAAGTGGAGCATTAAAGTTGGATAAAGAAATTTATGTTTTTCTTTTCTTCATTTTTTACTTCTGGGTCCCATTATCTGTTTCAGATGAGGACCATTCAAGCTCTTGCCATCTAAAATCAAATGTGAAAGGTATATAATAAGCCAAATATATGTGTTTCTGCCTTCACTGAACAACACCTTACCCGCTTATTCCACGAATGCTAGGTAGAAAGAGTTGAACCCATCATGGCATTTTCTGTTGACTTGACTTGGAAAAAAAAAAAAAAACGAAGTTTTGCATAATTGCATCAATTAGGGTATGTATTAGTCGTATGAGAATCGAAGAACATTATTATATTATTTTTTGGGGACTGGGTTTTGTGGTCTGGGGTGTGGGGTGTGGGTAAAAGGTGGGCCCTTTTGGTCTATTTGTAAAGATCCCAAGATGGGACCAAACACATAGACATACCTATCTTTGATTGGTCAAAGTCTTGATAGTCATAAATAATTAATTTAAATTGCTTTTCAACTAATATTGACGCGCTTTGGAAAAGACATGGTTTAATTTAAAAGCTCTTTTTTAATGTTAGTCAATGACGATTAGTCTCATTAGTTAATTGAGATGTTTCCTTATAATTGCTTTCTTAGAATCAATTCCTAACCAAACAAAAGATTATGTTGTTACGCATATTTTATGGTTAATGATGATTCATTGATCTATTTTAATATTATATGAAGATCACAATGAAAAAAATTTACCTAAGCTCTCACTCAACTACTCTCATTGGTGCAAGTATTTGAAAATTTTTTTTCTTAGAAGGCTCTTTTCAAATATACTAAAGGTGTTCGGTAAATGTTAAAAAATATTTATTTGAGAGTACCATTCATGAGTTTAAAATTTTATTAGATAAAAATTTAAAAATTATTTTCTAACGTGAACATATGAAAAATGCAATTTTGTCATCTCTAATCCCATGACCTTCATCAATTTCTCAGTTTTTTTTTTTTTTTTTTACTAAAAAACCTTGTTGGATTCTAACAAATCAAAACATTCAAAAGTTTTTAATAAACGCTCTTCTAAACTTCAATAGAAATTGAAGAAAAATAAAGAAAGTCAACTTACCATATATTTCCGAGTCGGTAACAAGTGGAAACCAAAGTTCAGAGAGAGAAATACATCTAGTGAAAAATTATTTGTTTCAAGAAGTAACAAAACCGATGTTGGACCTTTTATAAAGAAATCAAAAATAACTTTTGAGTTTTTCAATTTTGTGTGTCCATCACTTCTTTGCAATTGCTTACAAGTTTCCTTAACTACATTTTCTTGACGACATTTATCAAGTACATGTGAAAATTGACATGCAACAAAAATGATGTATGTATATACCAATATGTAATGCAAGAGTGGAAGAGTTTCCAATCAAACTAGAAACCAATTTCTAAATTTTGAATTGAAATCATACTACCATGACTTAGACTCAATTAGGTGTTTTGTCAATTTTGTTTGTAACGTTTTCTTTCTTTTATATATAAAGTGCATCCTTATCCTTTTTATTAATTATTCAGACTCATTCTAGAAAAATAAAAATGTAAGAAATTAATAAGTACATAAAGTTTAGAATGAGAATTACAATAAGTGATTATAATATGTGTTCTGCTCACCCCATTTAGAGTAAATAATTGTAAATTATATTAAATAATCTTTTGATATTAGTATTTATCTACTAATATTTGTTATATATATGTATATATATATTAAGAAATGCAAGTAAA